GGTTAGTCGGTCGATCGGTTAGTCGGTCGATTGGTTAGTCGGTCGATCGGTTAGTCGGTCGATCGGTTAGTCGGTCGATTGGTTAGTCGATCGATCGGTTAGTCGATCGATTGGTTAGTCGGTCGATCGGTAAGTCGGTCGATCGGCTGCTTGCTTGCTTTATTGATTGATAGGTGTTTTTCATTATAATCAGATGATAGGAGTGTCTGTAGCAAAGTATAAAGAGAGTGAAGACATTGGAGACATGATCGTCACTACAGATTACATGACAGCTGGTAATCTGATTGGTGAATTCAGTTTACTGACAGGCTCGGCAAGAACGTCGTCTTGTACTTGTGAGACATCAGTACAGGTGAGTGAACGGACAACTCTACTTCTTACTGAAAAAATGTATTCTCTTGTATTTCAAATAAAGACTGGTTTATTTCTTTACTAATCTAATCAATTTGCTCAGACGTACTTCCTTCCAAAAGAAAAAATGCTTAATACGTTAGAAGAACATCCCGAACTAGCAAACAGATTATGGCGGGTGTGTGGTGTACGTATCGCTGTCCCTCTTCTCATGGACATGTTGGCGTACCATAATTGGACCAAGGACAAGATAAGATTAATGTGCGAACGATCGTACCTCATGAAAACACCTTCACCAAGCCCTCACGCGGTTTTCAAAATTACCGCAATGATGCAAGAGGCATTGCTTATCCAAGGCCATGTCACCTGCTCCGAGACGCGAGAGGTTTTCGAGGGGCCGGCAATACTACCAAAGGCGTACAAAGTATACAAACTCCATTACGACAAAGAACCGAAGATCCTTGTCATCGTTCGAGTCAACGAAAATCCTGTCGCGGAGGATGTCGGTGATACGCCCTCGGCGTTAGATCTTGTAGGTAAGTTTGTCCACTCCTTTATATTTGCGGACACCTCAAAATACTCTATATAGAGACCATATAGCCATCGATGTCAGGTGACTATTTGTTTAAAATCGCTTCATTTAAACTTYAACAGGTCTAAACAGGACGCGAAGTAGAACTAGAACTCGGAGTTTGTTATACGAGACTCMCAGTTCTCACAGCAGTCAGGATATCCAGTACAACAAACGCCACACGGCACCGGCCATTTTTGATAGCGGGAGACGACTTGAACCCTTRCCAGAGACSCAAACTAGAAAAATCAAYGTACTGACCGCTGCAAACGAAGCAGACGAGATAGCTCAAGAGAAAACTAATAATGACACTTGATTTTCGTTATGTTAGTCTTTCTCAACATTTTAATGTGATGTCTCTAAGCGATTTCGATCACAAATCAAATACAAAGTGTGATCTTTGACTTTCCATCAAAACTTTAGAACTTTTTACTTATTTATGCATCCATATTCAGACACCACATGTTTTTAAACTTGTATATAGCACATGGGTTTGGTGATTAAACTAAATTTGTTAGATGCATTTTAATTGTTAAAGTAATCCTATAGTTTGTGTATCTACTTCGACTTTTAGGGAGGCCTAAGTTTCTCTGTCAAATTAAAGGACACAGCCCCATTCTTTAAAACAAATTCTGCAGCATAAAACACTCGTACTGCATTTTGAACACAACAGTCGTTCATCATTATATGCACTGATAGTTGTTCTTTCATTATTTTTCCTGTAGTTGGTTTTGACTTGTAATGTCAAGAGCTTTTTTGACACATTTGCTAACTTTTTTGACGGTCTTGTCTATAAATAAWAACATTCGTTTTTGCTAACAGTTTAAAATTCAATGAACTCACATCGTACACTATACTTTTACGTTAAGAAAGAAAATAGCATGATTTGAGCTTTTCCAAATCAATTTTTCATTATTTTATGTCAAATAAATGAATAACCCCCACTACCTATGACCATAAGTRCTTTGCCTCTAGTTTTTCCAATTACGAAATTTCAAAAATGCAGCTCCCTCAAAAGCCACCCAAGCGCAGATATTTCCCATTAAGAATTCATTCCTMCTACAGGTTTTGAACTTTTAAAACCAGCTGACCTTACAATAAAGTAAAAATACCACAAGCCTACCAGCGTCTTTCAAAATGAAAGCGAAGCAAAAACATTTCATTATATCAAATCCTTGCTTTATTGTTTTATATTTTAATCTGTTACCTCGAATTTTATCTACAAGAATTATATGGACTTCTTCCAACGAAGGTGAGACTTTGGATTCTTTTGTTATTATATTCTTGATGTTGTTATTATTGATTTTCGCTTGGAAATTATGTTTAGTTTGTTATTTGTGTTTAATGTAGAGAATTATTTGCTTCTTTAAAAAAAAGCAGGCTTTACTGATACACAACATAATGGCGTTGTTTTACATATATCATTATTATATCGATCGGGTGCATCAAGTTTAGATGGATCACAGCATACTGTAAACGGCTATCAACTGCTGCCCTCTGCACTGTAGCATAGTTGGTTAATCTGATTTTTGCTTTACAAGATGTTACAAATCGATTCAAACTGCTTTCCACTTTAATTCAATTAATTCAAACATTCTGTGCAAATGTATTGATGAACCAAGTTTTGGTCCAGCGTCGTCATTTCCGAGCTTTTGTTTATGTCTGAAGATAAAAATACATCGTAATATAAGCAAAAAATACTCCTGATGCCATGAATGGAAATGTGGCTTGTACGACGATTCGATCTTAAAACTAAACGAGAAAAAAGGGGATTTTTGAAGTCATCTCATTTACAATATATAATGAAAAATCTAAAACGCGGCCGCATTGAATGCCGGTTAATCATAGCCCTTTAAAAAGAGAAATTGTACCTTACAAATATTGATATTCTTCATTGACTGTATTAGAGCAAACGCAGGAAAACCATGAAATAAAATCAAACTAAATACTAACAAATAGCGATAGTGGATTCAYCTTCATTGTGTTCTGGTTCATTGATACTGACAAATTGTCTCTAAATTGTCGCTATTTTTTAGTATTTAGTTTGATTTTATTTCATGGTTTTCCTGCGCTTGATCTTTATTTGAAATAGGCTATATATACATTGTTTTTTCGTATTTCCACGATTTTTATTGCAGACAACATTTTTTTACTAGTAGATTCACATGAATGCAAATCTTTAGCGCTCGCATTTTTCAATCTTCAGAAAGTATTCAAGAACAAATTATGATACAAATCAAATTCTTTAACGCTATTCTTGATAATTTCTCTATATTTGCCTTGTGTGGTTTTGAATATTTCATCAATAGACTCAGACATCTCTCTTCGCTCCAAAGAACTGACAGACCGCATCTCATAGACAGGAACGCCCCTTTCTCAGGATCTTATCCAAAACGAAAGGAATGTGTCTGAGCGCGCTTTACTTTGATTAAAACGAATTATATAATAGAGAAAAATAACGTTAAAATTAGAGRAGTTTTGATCTAGCTTTTGATCCACCCTCGATCACTCAACACCATTAATAAAGTACAAAGTATAGGTGCATTGAAAGCTATAGATTAAACTTTCGTTACGTAGTGTGGTTTTTGTAGTGTCCAAAGTTTATGAAAATTGTCGGGTTTATAGATTATGTTTTTATTTTCTGTACAAGAATGTTTCATATTTCTGTATTGTATTCGATTCAGATAAACTATGGTTGAAGACAATATATCGACCTACTCGCCGCGTACAGGACGAGGRTCTCAGCCACCTTAAAAAAGGTAATCAATATTGTACCAGGTTGAAAGATATAGTGTTTGTCACGGTTCCCTGCGCCAGGTTGAAATGTAAAGCTTTTCATTACATCAAAGCAAGACTTCCGTTGAGCTTGAAATGATAGATATCTGTAAATAATTGCCTAATATATATAATGCCCGATTTAGACGACACAACTTTTGCTTACAACCATCGCATGCAACCTGCGTAAGTCATCCTTACGACATGTCTACAACTGTCGTAGGGATTTCAAACAATTGCTTAATAGCCTCACGACAGTTGTAGCCATGTCGTAAGGATGACTTACGCAGGTCGCATGCGATAGTTGTAGGGGAAAAGTTGTGTCGTCTTAATCGTTTCTATCGTTGGCCATTCAACGGTCGTCTCGCTTCGATGCAAAGCATACGTTTACTTCATATAAAACTGAATTGCTCCATGGCAACCACTCAATCACCATGATTCATTTTCCACCATCAGCTCCACTACCACCACCATCATCATCACCATCATCATCATCATATTCATCATCATCAACCTACGCAGCCTCCTTTGTGTAAGTTTTATGACGATTCAATCGGTCGGCTGCATTGGAGTTCAATCATTAGAGTCATCAACATTATTGTATCTGAACAGCTCGCTTTTTGACAGTATTGAGATCCGTCGATGAAGAACAAGAAGTAACTGACAGAATCGAAAAAGGTACTGCATTGCTGATATCTGGGGTCCCTGTGTCCACAGGRCTCCCGAGATATTAACTTATTTTATCTTGTATTGATTATGTTGTGATGTTTTCAGTTTTGAGGTCAATTGACGAAGAAAATAGTGTTCATGGTATGTTAGCTTTTCCTTTTTTCTTTCTTTTTTATTGTACGTTATTATGTCACGAGCTCGTAAAGGCTGATTTACATGGCACGATTGTCTTGTGCGACTTGTAGTATACGACTTGAATCGCGCAGTGTAAATGCCCCTACGACTTGTCTATACAACAGTCGTACACAACCTACGACTTGTAGTAGGATTTTGAAAAATCGTACCGTGTAAATCAGCCTTAAGTGTTTATTTTTTTCTAATTTTGAAGTGAATTTTTCAAAAAAATTTTTTCATTAATAGAAACGAAAAAACGGAAGAAGATAGCAAAAGGTATCGTAAGTTTAAATAAATAAATGAAAAATGAATGATGATAAATTGAAATGATGTGAGGTCCATTCTGTTTTGTAGTATTAGAAACCATCGACCACCACACAAAGAACGCTCTGTCAACTAAAAAATCCTCAGTCCACCTCCACCAAGTACGACCAGCAAACATGCCCAAGTCTAAAGACGGAAGAACAATTACTATCAATACCGCACAAGGAAAGAAAAAGGTCTTTATACCTAAAGGTTGGACGTTCTGTACAGTGTCCCCAATACATTGCTACTCATCTAAGAAAACCAAGAAAAGTGAGTTGAACAACAAGCTGTAATATCAATCGACAGCAAATTCATTTTCTATGGCAAAGTATGATGGGATATGCGTTAATCCTGACTTGAAATCTACTTTGCTTGTTAGGGTCGTCAGCAACGAAGAAAAGCAAGAAAAAGAAAAGAGACCAAACCTAATTTTAAGTCTTGAGGAGCAACGAAGTAGTCCAAACACAGGATAATTGCACTATTATTAATGTAAAGATAATGTATATAAAAGAAAAAGGAAAAGTGATTCAGAAAATAACAAACACTCCATTTTACAATCCAAGCCGCCATCTTGAAAAGTAACCAAGCCTTTACATCGAAGCGAGGGGGGAGTTGAGCCTGCAGTGATAGATACCTTTTGTTCACACCCAAGACAATTATTTACAGGTATATATCTATCATCATAGTCTCCTTTGCAGCCTCCTGTCCCTCGAGAAAAAGGAGAGGCTGTGAAGGAGACCACTATCATTATTGCAAGCTCAACTTCTGTCTCGTTTTGATGCAAAGTCTCACCTACCTTTCATGGCGCTTGGAACTGTAAAATGGAGTATTCCTGTCAGTTTTATAATTGTTGTATCATGATTTACTGTCGAGCAACCTTTTGAAATTACTTTACATACGGGATATGTAATATCAATCACATTTGGAAGGCGACACGACATTCCCATCACCCCCTGGGGAGATTTGAACATATCGATCCCACGTGAATTCATTCTAAAACATGTATATTTATATCAATTCACGGAAATTAGGTATTAATTATTCATAATATTATCTATTGTTCTATTAATTAGTAATAAAATCAGTGATGTTCAAAACTGATTTGCATCATTTATTAAAATTTCAATTGGTAAATTAAGGTTTTATTGTTATCTTTCGTTATTTTCATTTATTCRTTCATTTTTCCACCCATCCTTTCATTGTCTCTTCTTTCATGTAAAAGTTCACATCAAATTATTTTTGTTTGACGCGAAATCAACTAGAAAACTGATTTCAAGTGAAAAGAGTTGTGTTTATATTTTGACAAAATCAACATGTCACATTTYTTTGTAAAATAACTCTGATTTCGCAAGAATTAACATTAAAAGAGTTGATAACTCCTGAAAAATCATCAAAATAATTCCATTTTGAAGTCTTTAAAGCTTTCGCATTTTCAACCGCACTCTCAAAGCCACAAAGCAGCTCAGCCTTTTTCACAAATCATGAATCTTTTATCTTATCAAYATTGGTGTTTTGCAGTCCCTCCCAKCACTACCAATAGCTTAGCAAGGCTGGTATTTAGTGGGAGGTCTTTTTGAATGATGATCGCTGAGCTTACATCGCGGACACCTGTGTGCATATACTACATATAARAACACTTTGAACCCCAGGRCACTTTCAGACACTAACCGCAAAATCATTTGAAACTAGGTTTTTCTCACGTTTGSATGGCGTGGTGATAGTTTTGCGATAAGAGAAGCAARAAGTTGATCACCATTATTGCTGGGATTGTGTTAAGACGTAAAGCAACTTGTGGAGAACGATAGAAAGTTTCTTTYGTTTTTCATTGWTTTACATTGGAATTATGGTGAGTACAATGCGACATTTTTAAGAAAATAAATCAAGTCATGTGAATTAGTGTTGTTAAACAAGCCATGGCAGGAAATATGGGAAAAAATAGCCGAAAACGGTGAAAAAAGTTACACAATTCTGCATAAGAACATTATTTGTACACAGCCTTTACGTTCAGGAAATGCTGTTTTCAAGGAAATGCTGTTTTCAGAAGGATTTTTAAGTTAAACAAAAAGCATTTTATACCATATTTGAGTGTTAAAAATGGACTTTGTGTGGAGGAATGCTCAACACAAACACTTACGGACGCTCACAAAACACTATTGGAATTAAATTGATTTTAAAATCAAAAAGGAATGAAATTGTGTTTTTAACAAAAAATGTTGAATAATTACTAAATGAACACATATTTTCAAATATGTTGAMTATCAACTTTCAATTTTTAACCCGATTTCACAGTTTTGGACTGAGTTTCTTTCAATTCTTAAAAAGAAAACAWAAAAATCGCTCASAAAGTGTTGTTTTTCTTTCATCACAATATGGCAGCAATCAATAATTGAACACGAAGATATTTGCAATTTGTCTTTTAAGATCAGAAAGGYGCTCTGTGGTCAGAGGAGTGATATTTGAGGGTTTTTGTGACTCTTTTGGTTGCAAGATAAACGTGATTTTGAATCCAAACAGAGACGACTTTGTCAAATGAGATAAAAAGTGGAAAAAAAAAGAAATTATCGATAACACTCCCACGAAAAATATGCATGCTTTGTTTTGTTTGAAGGAATTAAATTCTATTTAAATTGACTTTGACCTTACTAYAATTCAAAATAAAAGATAGATTTAATTAACTTAAAAAGAAATGTTTAAAATATGAAAAAAATTACCATCTGTTCACAAATGAAGCGAAATGTTTGAGACAAAAGGAGCGAGAAAAAAAAATGTCGGAAGGTAAATGAATTAAAAGGAGAAATCAGAAAAAAAATGCATACAAATCAATAAAATATCATAGAAATCATACATACTTATAACGAAAATGTTAAAATCTGAATTTTTTAGGTAGAGAAGCTATCTCAGGAGCAACTTTCTGGTAAGTCATGAATTTGCCAAGTGTAAATCAAGCCTACAACGATCACTACCTAAAGGTTGATTGACATTGTACAACCTTTTTCTACAACTGTCGCATACAACCTGTGCGCGGCATACATGTAAATTACATCGTGTAAATCAAACCTACAACTCACTACAACTACCTAAAGATTGATTTACACTGTACGCAACTTTTGTCTACAACTGTCGCATACAACCTGTCTACGACATTAGTGTAAATCAAACCTACAACTCACTACAACTACCTAAAGGTTGATTGACACTGTACTACGTCGCATACAACCTGTGCGCGTCATGTACATACAACACGAATTGTGTCGTGTAAATCGAGCCTACAACTCACTACAACTAACTAAAGGTTGATTGACACTGTACAACGTCGCATACAACCTGTGCGCGGTAGTCCTGGTGCATCACACAATAATGTCACGCAATCTTCTTATAGAATACCGTGATGCTTTCGAGCATTTTGACAAAGACTCGAGTGGTACAATTACAACACGTGAGCTTGGAGCTATCATGCGATCACTCGGCGAAAACCCGACGGAGYTGGAACTACAGCAAATGATCAAYAGTGTCGATTGTGATGGTAMGTTACTGAGAYTATACGTAAAACATAGCTTGTAACGTGAAGTGCACTGCGGTAACGCTTATTTATAAGTTAACGTAAAATCGYATTACATGTAAAATRTTACATAACGCGTAAAACGTAGCTAGTAACGTAAAGCGCACTGCGGWAACGCTTATAAAATACTGAAGCGCAGCATCGCGCGCATTTGGCACTATTCATTGTGCTGAGCGTCGCTGAGCAGTAACACTTACCAGCATCGAACACGTTACTCCGACGAAGGATTAACGTCCGAAACGTCGGTAAGTTATTTCCGTACAACAGCTTCAAAAATAACACGTACCTTTTCTTACGTAAAACGTAACAACGATTTGCGAATCGTTACGTTTGTATTTTTCTTATTTGAAGGAAACGGTCTTATGGACTTTGAAGAGTTCACCAAGTTGATGGTAACACAAAACCAATTCATGATGGACGACAAAGACTTAATCGAAGCATTTCGAATGTTTGATCGCGATGGTCGTGGTTATGTGATGTCRTCTGAGTTAAGGACTGTACTTCGACATTTAGAGGAAAACATTCCAGAACACGAGATCAACGAAATGCTGCAAGACCACAAACAGAGTTGGAACAGGAAGATTAACTTTGATGGTATGATGGAGATCGTGTTACCGCTCACTATCATCATCATCTTCATCATCATCACCATCATTATCATCGTCATCATCATTATCATCATCATCATCATCGTCATCATCACCATCATCATCACCATCATCATCATCATTATCATCATTATCGTCATCGTCATCATCATTACTATCGCAATTATCATACATAATATTACTGATTTTCTGTTCCTCTGTCAAAAGTATAACATATATATATATGTTCCAAGTAGTTAGATTGTGAAGCAATTGTTTTTCTGTTGTAGAATTCAAGAAAATGGCACAAATCGAAGCTGGGAACACATT